CTGGGGACTCGGGGGTGCCCGGCCTGGGGTCCCGCCACCGGGCCTCCTCCTCGGCCTCGCTGAAGAGCTGGAAGGTGCTCTGGCTGCGGAGCAGCTGGGTGTCGCGCCTCGGGGGATCACTGCCTCGGAGCGGGGCGCCCCGGCTGCCCTCGGCGCCCCTCTTCACCTGCTGACCACATGGCTGCCAGGAAACTTCCTCCAGCTTCGGCTCCCCGTTTTTGAAGGGGTGCTCCCCGTTGCCTAAGGGTTCCGTGGGCTCAGAAAGGCGGATATTGGCGTTTGTCTCCTGGAAGTCGTTCCTGGAAGTCGGGGCCATCCTGCTGGGCCGGTAGGTGCAGCCATTCACGGAGCTGCCCACACTCGGGGGCCGCGGGCGCCCTTGCTCGCGCTGCTCGATCTTGGAGACCTTTTCCAGCACCGAGCAGTGGGGCTGCCCGTACTGGAAGCCGGGCAGGGCCGAGGTGCTGCTGGAGCTGAGCCGCCTCCGGCCCAGGCTGGACGTCTGCGGGTGTGGCGGGGAGGGCGGCTCCTCCAGCCTTGCGTCCGAAAGGGGGACAGAGGTCACTGCGCTGGCTTTGCCCTCAGGCCGTGGGCAGGGAACCGGCCTGTCCGGATGGCTCCTGTGATCGGGAACCACTTTCCATCCAGGGCCCTCTGCCTTGGGGCTGCCTCCCACCTCCTGGCTGCTCTGCCTTCTTAGACTCTCGGGAATGTTCTGAAGAGAGGAGAAGGCCGACTTGGTCTTGCCAAAGTTGCTAGACGGGCTCTGGCTTGGGCCTTCTCGCTCCAGCCCCTGCTGGAGGTTGGCATTGTGGTCTTCTTGGGAACCACCCTCCCAAAGCTCGGTGGGCCTGGAGGGTCTCTTGCTGTCGCCCACCTGCCAGGCCTGCGCCTGAGGGGGCTGGGTGTGGTGGCAGGTGGGAGCCGGTTTGCTGCTGTGGGGGCTCTTCCTCTCGCTGGGATGTGGGCTGCTGCCCTGGAGAGGTGCGAGGCGCTTCTTTGGGGAGGTGTCCTTCACATTTTTAGGCACCGAAGGGAAATGCACTTTGAGGGGGGCACATTTGACCGGAGTTTCAGGTGTTCTCTCTGCTAGGGACAGAGATTCATGCTCTCGGGGTTGACAGAAGGCAAACGCAGGTCTGCTAGATCCATTCTGGTTTCCATTCTCATCCAGGGTAGCCGTCTTGTCACCGGCTCCTGGAGGAGTCGTATAGCCACTCTCCTTGGCCAGGGCAGGGTAGAGCGTGCCGTTACTACTCGCGGAGGGCTGAGGCACCTGGGCAAAGTGCGGCTCCAGGGATGGTACCGGGTAGATGCCAGTCGGCAGCAGAGGTTGGCCAGGCTGGGCCTTCTGGGGATACTGATGCTTGGGCTTCACCGGGGGGCTGCTCTCTGGACTCTTCTCCAGCACAGTATGCAGCTGTTCCTCCACGAAGGGAGATTTCAGGGCGCCCGCAGAGTTTGCCTGAGGCCGGCAGAACCGTTTCTGGTCAAGGCTAGACCAAGAGCTGGGCCGCTCTCTGTGCCGGAAGGCTGCGTAACTGTCACTCCGGGCGGGGGGCAGCGGTGCGCCCACTTTCGGAGGCAGGTTGTCAATGGCGGTCTCCAAGGAACTGGGACCCTGCTGGCTCCAGGAGGGGGGCGGCCCTCTCCGGCCCCGAGGAACGTGATGCCCTTTGTCATAGCCCTGACTGTCTGCTGAGGCTTGGGCCTCCCTCCCTGGGAGAAGCAGGGCTGATGAGTTCACCTCGAACTCGGCGGAGATGCCCCTCTGGGGGTCATAGACTGTCTTGACATAGCGAATGTCTGCCTGCCTCATCCCGTCCAGGAGGCCACCTTGAGCAGAAGTGTCCATGGAGCCCGACCGCTCCCGGCCCGGGACGCCAGGGGGCGGGTACTCTAGGATGCTGGAGCTGGTGGAGAAGGAGCTGTAAGCCGAGTCTCTCTTGTTATGGAGGTGGCCGAGCTGGTCGATGCTGCTGGTGGACTTGGCAGGGGAAAGAAGGTGGCAGGCGGGGTATCCCCCACTGGGCTCCAGGCTCTCCATGCTCCCCTGGGAGCTGCACTGGTCAGGGCTCCGCCTCAGATAAGCGTGGTCATAGTTGGAGAGGTCACTGGTCGAGGAGCTGGAAGGAAAGAAGGAAGACAAAACAGTCAGCACCACTGAGCTGTTATGACTTAGGGTTCAGGCACAGGACGCAGCTTATAAATGTACTCTGGCGCACGATGTTTGGTTTTTGGAAGGGTGGGTGAAAAGAGCCATATTTGGCCTCCCTATGCCTCCGTGGGCGCCGCTACTAGGAGTAATTGCCCAACACTGGAACCCGTGTGTGCTTCTAATCAATCACCCAGGCTTGCAAGGGGAGGAACGGGGAGCACGAAGAAGCCATGTAGCCTTCAGGCATAGGCGGCACACTCACGTGACTTGCCATGTGCTGGAAATGACGGTGTGTGCCAAGAAATGAGAGCGGTGGGGAGGAAAGAGGAGAGGAAGAGGAGGAAGAGGGAGTGACACTGAAATTTTGTGTCTCTTGGGGCTATTTGTGGGAAGAAGGGGAAATGCTTAGAGACCAGGCAAGTGAATGGGTGAGGGGGACTGTGCATACATGTATACGTTTTTAGTTAATATCTTTCCTTTTTATGGCATTGAAGGCCTTCCAGCCTGGCAACCTTCCTGGAATCTCAATTGTACTGGAGACTATTTGTTTGTGATGAGAAAGCTAAACACAAAGCTGAATGAGAGAAATTAGTGTCAGAAAAAGCAGATGGGACAGGAAAGGTGAGGGAAGCGTAATCACGAAGCCCATCACCTAAGGGCGACCTCCCAAAGGCCGAGCTCAGCCTCTCATACACGCAGGAGGTAAGACCTCATTTGTGAGCTCCTCCTCCAGGTGGTTTTCAGAGCCTCACTGGGGAAGGGGAGATGACTCTCAATCCTGGCACTGCACACCCTAGAAAGCTGCCTCAAAACAAAGTTCCTTATAATTAGTGTTAATTATAAACTTAGAATATACTTTACCCAGCATGTTGGGGGCGGGAGAGCATACAGGAAGGAGTAAGTGGTTCAAAAATCAAACAGCAGTCTCCATGGTTCAAATGTCTGTGACTCACGATTCTCTAAAGAAGGGAAAATCACTAGGAGCTCTTGCCTAAGAGTTTCCACTTTTACATGAATAGGCACTTACGCACTATTAAAGTTCATGGAGCTATTATATTTCTAGGCCTCATGTAAGTAAATATGGTGTCTTGGTTGGTTGAATATGTAATGATGCATAATGGCTGGACTGTCTCCAGAGTATATGGCGAGAGTCTAGAAGGACCATATTCTGAGTCAAAACTAGTGCTGAAATTCAAGGAAAAGAAAACTATATTTTTAGTGACTAACCTTAAGAATGTAACTTTTCTTTAAAAAAAAAGTTTTTATGTTTTTAGAGAGAGAGAAAACACTGACCAGCTGCCTCCTGCAGGCACCCTACTTGGGATCAAATCTGCCACCTGAGCTTGTGTCCTGACCGGGAATCAAACTGGGGACCTTCAGGTTCATGGGATCACGCTGAACCACTGAGCCACTCCAGCCGGGCCAAGGTGGCACTTGAAAGTGGGTAAGAACCACCTGGAATGAAGGTCTTCAGTCTTACACAGAGAGCCTTACCCTCAAGATGAATGTGTCAAAGTTCTTACTGTGGTCTGGCTACCTCATTTTCTATTGCTTTCCTTCTTGTTCACAGCACTTCAGCATGATGGCTTCCTTACTAACTCAAATCCGTGAAATATAGCCCATCTCAGGGCTCAACGGCCTTTGTACTCACTGTCCCCACCACATAAAACGCTCCTTACCTGGCTCACTCCTTCATTTGTCTCTGCATCAGAGAACATCTGGAACTCACTATCTAAAGAACACATCTTCTCTCCTTACTCTCTGTAACTCTGCTTTATTTTCTTCATAGCACTTATCATACTTGACATGTTGCATTCTCTATTTTGTGTGCTAAAAAAGTATTTTCTAAGTACTTAAAACAGAGCAAAAAGCACAAAACAAGTGTATGAAAAGATGTAAAGTGTGTTTACCGAAGATTAATTCCTTAGCTGATCAAATAAATATGTTTTGAAAATACTGGGCTAAATAAGTTAAACAATTTTATTTACTGCAAGGCTTCTGAGTCTTCAATAAACTATTGTTCATGGAATGTTCTGAAAGGAAAATACACTAAGCAGTGTTATTTGAACTTGTTTGACCCTAGAAACTTTTTCCAAAGGGCATGTAATGGGTTATTATTCCATGGAACACATCTTGGGAAACAAATAAGTATTATAGGTTGGGGGGCTTTTTATGTCTCATTCAGCTGAAACAGAGTGAGTACTCAGTGTGTATGCTTGAATGAACAAATCAATGGATACTGGAGTATTTTGATACTGTTATTTTATCCACTTGTGAGGGGACTGGACTAAGAGACTTGTTTAAAATGTTTTTATTGATTTCAGGGAGAGGAAGAGATAGAAACATTGATCAGAGAGAAACATCAATTGGCTGCCTTCTGTACACCTCTTACTGGGGATGGAGCTTGCAACCTGAGCATGTGCCCTGATGGGTAATCGAACTGGTGACCTCCTGTATGGGACACGCTCAACCAGGTGAGCCACGCCAGCTAGGCTGGACTTTCCAAGGTCTCTTCTAAAGTACTTTAATAGTTTGGGACCAATAGTTTGTGTGAGATTTCTGTAGGACAGCAAAAGGACAGTGACAAAGGTCTGACAGAGAGCAGCAGAAATACAATTTCAGTGAAATCCAAGCCAGTTTGCAGACAGTTAAGTCTTCAATCTCTTTTTATTTCTCCCTCCTTCTCTCCTCACGCCTGCTTCTCCCCCTTCCTTGAGCTCCCTCATGCTCCTGCTTCTTAATGAGAAACAGATGCATACACTTAGGACTGAGATTGGGTTTCTGGAACTAAAGGAAGGCTGTCAGAGGGACGCCGACAGATTGATTCAGCACACGAGACCACTAGATGCCACTGTGCTCCTCAGAAAGGCACCTGGAGCGCTCCTCCAGGACAGCGGCCGCTGTCAGACCTTCTGACAGAACTCAGTGTTGGGGTGAAGCCTCTGCAGAGCAGCAAGCCCGAGACATGGAATGACACGGATCATGGACGATCTGTGTTGGGGTTTCAGAGAACCCAAACGTCCGTCACAATGTGGTAATCTGAGCTTTCCTTTCTCCCTTTGTACCCCACACAGCGCTTCTGGGCTGACAGTCACGTGTCAGGGGAAGCAGGGTGGTAGATACAGTAAGAACAGATCCACCTGCCTAAACCCCTCTGAGGGTGGGATGGGGAGGAGGAAACAGATGGAGAAGCGCAGCCTTCAGAGAATTGCACTTCTGATGCCAACTCCACCATTCTCCCGAGGCCACTTGGAGCTCCATAGTCACTGTAAGCAGCTGTTCTAAGCACCAGTTACAGTAGTCTTATCTCTGCCTTTGGGCCGGCATGTTTTTCAGGTTGCAGTGTGATTTCAGATTCAGGGGCCTCTTAAAGTTGGGGGTTAGGAGGCTCCAAAGAGCCCACTGTTTAGGGTAATCTGTCAATACACACTTGCATTTTATAAGTGCGTGCTGGGTTATGCCGTTAACTTTGAAGTTCATCACCAGGTTTCACTGTGCCTCGGATAAGTCGTCAGCCTAATTATTATAACTAATTGTCATCTGGAACTACACTAAATGCTTTACATGGTATTTTGTTTAATCTTCACTATGGTCCATTGATACAGTATAAATTTCATTTTACAGATGAGGAAACTAAGATCAAAGAGGTTACACAACTTGCTCAGGTTCATGCAGTAGGTGAAGTTGAGATTTAAGCCTACGTCTGACTTAGCATTATGCTGTCCCTCCTCCACACTGTTAGCGCCAAACATCTAACCTTCTGAAGGCCTTCAACCCTGCATGCCCAACCAGCAAAACCACTGTGGGGGTGGGGCTCTGTTCTCTGAGCACAGATGGCTCAGATGGAGAGAATGAATCCCATCAGGGTTATCGGGAGGGACTCGGGCAAGTGGGTGTTGGAAACAAGGAGGGTAACCAGGAACTTACCTCTTCCTACGGCCTGAAGCCTTCCCTAATATGCTGGGAGCCATGTCCACCAGTACTAGGTCTAAGATTTGGTTCTTCATTTGACCAGACATGAGTGCTAAGGATTCTGAGTCCTGGCCTTGCCAAATGCATAGACAGCATCGTTAGTTAAGTAATCATTCCAGAAGCCGCCCTCCACTCCCCCATGTCAGAACTTGCATATCATGTCTATATAGGAGCCATATTCTCTTGACCCTCCAATCTCCCTACCATTACCCTTATCCAGCCCTTCCAAAAAGTGGTCAAGCACCAGAGCCTGGCTTCCTGGGATCAGAAGATGAATTCCAGTCTGTGTGGGTTCCAAGTCTTTAAAAATGCAGGGGAATCCTAACTTAGCAGAAAGGACATTAAGTGAGGGAAGAAGTATGTCAGTATTTCTAGTGTAACGAGAAATGTCTGAGAATCACCAGACCCAATAAATATCTCAAATAGCTAGCCAGAGCTCAAAATAATGCTGTCCTTGCTCACACCACCCCGGCCAAGGAGATCAAGATGAGTGGTACACAGGTTAGGAATTTTAAGAGGATGAGGAACGTATTGGGGAGACGGATTTAATACTCAGGATAAATGGAAGAAAGTGTTCTCAAAGCAGGAAAAAATGTTCTTTCGGGGAACAGGACATGTGAAGGAAAGAAACCCCTGGGTCTCAGCTTTGGCCACTTACCTGGAATGGTAGCTTTGGGGCCAAGGAGTGCCAATCGTGCCCTGAGATATTTGCATCATGCTGGCATTGGGTTGGTTGTCCTCAATTTTTGTTGAATGCCAAGAGTGTGGCCGGCCTGCAGGTTCGCTGCGCCTGGGGAGACACAGGAAAGGGACCCACAATATCAGCGGCATTCTCAGCCTAGTCTCTTCACCAACATGATTTATGCTTTTGGAAAAAGAGTGGTTTCCTTTTCCTCAGAGATTTAAAAAAAATCAAATAAATAGCAGAAAATAGATTTTACTGCTTATTTATCTTACCATTGTTATTCTCTGCTTTTTAATATTTTAATTTTAATTTTGACAAAATTTCAAACTAATATAAAAATGTAGTAAACTTAGTGTGAAGAATTCCCACGTAAACCCTCGTGCACTGTTGGTAAGAATGCAAATTAGAACAGCACTAGGGAGAACAGTATGCAGGCTCTTCAGATAATCACAGTTAGAACTACCTAGCAACCCACTTCTGGGTATATATCCAAGGAAATTGAAATCAGGATCTCACAGAGATAGCTGTACTCCCATGTTCATTGCAGCATTATTCATGATAACCAAGGCATGGAAACAATCTAAGTGTCCATCAACAAATGAATGGATTTAAAAAAAAGTGGTACTATATATATTCAGTGGATTACTATCCAGCTATGAGAAAGAAGAAAATCCTGCCATTTGCAATAAATTGAATAGACCTAGAAGGCATTATGCTAAGTGCAATAAGCCGGAGAAAGATAAATACTGTATGATATCACTTACATGTGAAATCTAAAAAAGTCAATCTCAGAGTGGTGGTGACCAGGTGTTGGGGGAATTTTGGTCAAAGGGTATATATTTCAAGTTAAAAGATGAACAAATTCTGCCCTGGCCAGTGTTGCTCAGTTGGTTGCCGGTTCAATTCCAGACCAGGGCACGTGCCCAGGTTGTGAGCTTAATCCCTGGTAGGGGCCAATGGATGTCTCTCTCCCCTTCTCCCTTCCTTTCTCTCTCAAAATACAAAATCTTTTTTTATTTTTTTTATTTATTTTTAAATATATTTTATTGAGTTTTTACAGAGAGGAAGGGAGAGGGATAGAGAGTTAGAAACATCGATGAGAGAGAAACATCGATCAGCTGCCTCCTGCACACTCCCCACTGTGGATGTGCCCGCAACCAAGGTACATGCCCTTGACCGGGATCGAACCTGGGCCCTTTCAGTCCGCAGGCCGACGCTCTATCCACTGAGCCAAACCGGTTTCGGCCAAAATCTTTTTTTAAAAAAAAATTAACAAAAAATAAAAATAAAAATTAACAATTTCTGGAGATCAAATGTACAGCAAAGTGATAACAACTAATAAGATTGTATCAAATACTTGCAGGCTGCTAAGAGAGATCTTAAATGTTTTCACCACAAAAAAAGAAAATGGTGACTATGTGATGGGATGGAGGTGGTAGCTAACCCTGTGGTGGTAATAATTTTTGCAATTTATAAATGTATTGAATCAACACGTCGTACATCTTAAACCTGCACAGTGTATCAATTGTATCTCAGTAAAGCTGAG